TAGGTATACAAACATTGATCAGCAGGTACCCCTGTTGATGAGGTATGACCCTCCTTTCTCAACTGGTAATCCCACCCCCCCCCACACACACACACACCAACAGTTTCCCATTACTGCCAATCATTCTTATAGCATTATAATTTTTCAAGGTCCTCTTGTAAGTGAGAACATGTGGAACTCTGTTCTTTGTTTCTGTGATAAAACACTGAGTATGATCGACTCCAAATCCATCCAGGTTGCTGCAAAGTCCATATATTTGTCGTTCTTTGTGGCTGCATAATATTCCATTGTGTATATATACCACATTTTTTTTATCCAGTCCAGCTTCGATGGGCAACATGGTTGATTCCATGTTTTTGCTATTGTGAATAGAGCTGCAATAAACATACGTGTGCAGGTATTTTCTTTGTAGACTAATTTGAGTTCCTCCGGGTATATTCCCAATAGGGGAATCGCTGGGTCATGTGGAAGGTCAATTTCTTGTTCTTTCAGAAATCTCCAGACTGTTTTCCAGAGAGGTTGTACAAGTTTACATTCCCACCAGCAGTGTAGAAGCGTTCCTTTTTCTCCACATCCTCGCCAGCATCTGTTGTTGTTTGTTTTATTAATCATGGCCATTCTTACAGGGGTTAGATGGTATCTCAATGTGGTTTTGATTTGCATTTCTCTGATAATGAGTGAGGCTGAGCACTTTTTCATGTGTCTGTTGGCTGCCCGTATATCTTCTTTTGAGAAGTGTTTATTGTTTATTACATAGAATTACATATTTCATTATATATTGCAATGTAATCATAGTAGAAATAAAGTGCATAATAAATGCAATGCACTTGAATCACCCCGAAACCATCTTCCCCCCACCCTAGTCCAAGGAAAAATTGTCTTTGATGAAACCAGTCCCGATGCCAAAAAGGTTGGAGACTGCTGCTAGATGGCCGAAGGATGGAATGTGGTGGGTGGGGAATGCATCTGCGTAGTGGTGGTTGCTCAAGTGATGATGGATAGGTAAAGAGATTGTGAATTGATAGACAGAAAATGGATGGATATGGCTGCTGAATTGATGGGTTGATGGGAACTGAAAGAATCTATAGTGGATATAAATTGCAGGCAATAGGCAGTAAATGCTTGGTGGATAGATGAATCAAGGCATTATAGATGGGCCAGATATGGTAATTTATGTGTAATCCTAGCATTTTGAGAGGCTGAGGTAGGAGGATGGCTTGAGCCCAGGAGTTCAAGACCAGCCTGGGCAACAAACTGAGACCCTGTCTCTACAAAAACCATCACAAAAAAATGAGCTGGATGTGGTGGCATGTGCCTGTAGCCCCAGCTACTTGGGAGGCTGAGGTGGGAGGATCTCTTGAGCCCAGGAGGTTGAGTGCAGCGAGCCATTATGGTGCCAATGCACTGTAGCCTGAGCAACAGAGTGAGATCCTGACCACAAAAAAAAAAAAAAAGTGTGGATGGATGGTGTATAATTGCAGTGGATTTATCCACAGAGAACGGATGGGTGGATGGTAGGGAAATCTTCATGAATGTATGACCAATGGATCATAAGTGGTGGACAGATGATGGCTGGATGGCACACATGTGGGGAATGGATGGCCTATATAAGATAAATGAAGGACTGGTGGGGGATGAATAATGGGTTGTGTAGTGTGGAAGCAGAGGTGAAAGGTGAAGGGTGGATAGATGGATAGATGATGATTTGGTGACAAATGAATGGATGAAGGTTAAATTTTAGATGACTACATCTTGGGAAACTGACGCATGAAATGTGAATGGTGAGTAAGTAGATGGAGAGATGGTAAACAAATGAAAAGCGATTAGTGATGTAGGGTGAACGTACAGATGGAAGACGAGGGATAGAGGCCAAGTGGCTGGTGAATGGACGATGAGTGGAGATAAATATGAAATGCAGAGTGAATAATGGATGGAGGATGATGCCTGGACAGTGACTGGGTGGATGGTGTGTGGATCGTAATGGCGGAGGAATGCTCACAGCTGCCTCCCTACTCTATCCTCAGAACAATGCTCGACATAAAAGGCAGTCAACGTTTTCTAGAATGGATTAACTTGGATAGTGGATGGTACTTGGATGGATTTTGGGTGAATATGGCAGGATAAAGGATGAACAGATGGGGGATATTGAGAGATGGACAATGAACGGATAGCTATGTGGTGGATGGTGATAAGAGATGTGGTGGGGCCGGGCTCGGTGGCTCAACCTGTCATCCCGCGCCTTTGGGAGGCTGAGGTGAGTGGATGGCCTGAGCCCGTGGGTTC